GTAATCAGAAGCACCTCTGAAAGTCAGATTCCTAATGACACTGGAATAAGTGAACTTAAGTCTTTTTTTTTTTTTTTTTTAATTAAATTAGAGTTTCCTGCGATAGGAACAGCCATCCCACAATCTGGTTTCTAAGACCCTATTCAAAAGGGGGAAGCAGAGCTCTTCAGACTGACTCTGCGTCAGCTTGCAACGTGTCACTAAAACGCCGACCCCTAGAATCGTGCAACAGCTTTGTTCCTCCAACGGGGCTGCTAGAACAGCGACTCCTATTCCTAAAGGCCACGCGAGAATTCCCAGTCTTGTACCCAAGAGAGCAGCAAGTTCAGGCATTATGGCTGATCACTGCTGTTTTCCCCTAAAGTGTTATGATGTAAGAAAAATATCTGCATATAAAAAGTACCCCCTGCAAAATGGGGCGAAGAGTTCACAGTACGATTCACAGTACCTGCAAGGCACTGCGGCAGGGTATGCTGCTACAAATTCTGGAGCTCCTATCTCATGCCATGAGGCATGAGAAAAACTAAGAGGAGGAGAGGACTGCAGGACAAGGAGACCAGGGCCAAACATGCAGCAGATTAAAAAAAAAGGCAGTTTGCTGAAGGCCCAGATATGGACATCTGGTCAGAAAGGTGCTTTCAAAGCCAGCCCTGAATCACCTCTGCCTTGGGGATTCAGTTTCAGGAGGAAGGATCCAGCAGGTCCATGCCAGAAGGATCCATCACTGAAACCTCCACCAGGGGTGTTGGGGGGAGGGGGGAATCAGAAGAGCTGGTTAGGGCTGTTCTACATAGTAGTCCTCAGGGGCAAATCTCCCATGACTGAAAGCAGAGTCTGGGGCACAAGGTATTTCCCCACTTGGGAACAAAAGCACCAAAATGCACCCCAGCTACTCTCAACCCTCCAGCAGACAGGCTGGGCTCCAGGCCTGCTGATTATGGCTTTTTGGTGCTGGATGTCCCACGTGGTTCTGAACAGGTGCAGATCCACCCCTCCCTACCTCCAGCATTTTAACCAGAAGCACAGCCCCACTTCCCTGCCTTCCCACCCCATCAGAATAACAGCACCTGCCTGGCAGTCTGTACAACTGCTAAGGGACAGGTCAAGCTCCAAGGGAGTCCTGTACCAGAAGCAAATGTCTTGCAGTTCCATATGGCAGGCAGGAAGGCCGGGGCACTTGGAGGCACCGCTCTTTCCATGTTAGTCATATTCTGACCTGAAGTTGCAACCCAGTCACTATTAAAATCCACTTGGTTCCAAATTTCCTGTTAAAAAAGAAATCTCTGCCCCATCCTAGGGGTCAATGCAACACCTGGTCCAGGTCGTACTTCTCACAGAACTTGCTGGTGAAGGGCAGGCAGGTGAGATGCTCAATCCAGTGCCAGTTGATGGGGTACACATAGAGCCAGACAACCAAGGAGGCAAAAAGCCCTGTGAACACCACCAGGGAGACGATGATCATGACCCGCTTGCGGTACTTGTCCATGGTGCCGAAGGTGATGTAGGGGAGGAAGGCGAAGGACAGCAGGAGGCCACTGAGGAAGCCAAATATGTGTGCGATGTTGTCTATCCAGGGCAGGAGACCACAAACAAAGAGAAAGAGGACAATCCCAGAGAGGTTCAGAAAAGCTTTCCAAGGCTTCTCCAGGACCTGCCAGCTCTGGAAGAGCTCTACGAAGAGGCAAGCTAGCAAACCAAACTGGGATCCTGCTGGGCCAACCTAGTAGAGACAAAGGAAATGGAAGAGGGATTTACAATGGGCTCTGCTCAAAAAAAAACAGTCTACTTGGAGGAGTCAAAACAGTGGGGGGAGGAGGAGTTTGGAGACCTGGGCTCTACTGCTTATGCTGTCACTGGCCTGCTGTGACACCTTGGCCAGGTCAGTAAGCTACGTCCCCTCCCAAACCTTGATGACTGGAACAGAGGCAGAGGGCTGGTCCAACAGTGAGCATTGCAAAGGCTCACTGACCTTGACTAATGCCTGCACAGGTGTCAATCATTTAAATCCCAGTGAGGTAGAACTAATGACTGCTCCCTGCAACAAGGCAGAGCAGAGGCCACTCATCCAGCACCAAGTGAAGGCAGTATTTGGTATGACATTGGTTCAGTGGTGATCACTTTTCTTGATACAGCCATTATCCAAGGCAGCAGGCAGCTGTGGAGGACAAGCCAGATCCTACCATCTTGTCTCTTCAGACTTGCTGTAGTTCCCCAGGCAGGTGCGTGAAATGTGAAGAGCGCCAGCTACATCCCCAGAGCCAGGAATGAGCTAGGATGGAGGGTTTTTGTTTTTTTTTTGGATGTTCAAGCACACAGAAACTGGGTTCTGCAGCAGATGAGGGCCCTGGCTGCTCTCAAAAGCCCTTTAAAGGGCTCAGCACAAGGGACTGGCATAGAGATGCACGTTACCTCCTACTGCTTGGCCTTTGCTCTCTGAGCAGGGAGGCCAACCCCAGAACCTGGTCCAGAGCAAATGCATAGAAGCAGGACTGGTAGCCTGGTATTATTTTTCAGTTTGCTTTCTACAACAGGTGAGGAGGAAAGAAGAAACCTACTGACTTCATCAGGAGGACTGGGATGGAGGTAAAGCCAGCTGTGGCACTCCCTGCCTCTCAGCTTGAGAAGAAACACTCTGCTGCAGTGAATACAAGAGGTGAGAGGTGGAGGGTACGAGAGGAAGAAAGAAACAGCCAGACAGATTTACTGGACAGATAGCTGCCATCAGAGCGGATGCAGGGGCTGCTCTGACCTGCTGAGAAACTGCTGCAAAAAAAGACAACATGGGCCTCCAGAGTCTGTACCGCTGATAGCTCAGCAGCAGCTGTGTTCCACAGCAGGTCCAAGCCTCCTGCCCAGCCCACGGGCTGACTCTCCACTGCTCCCACCTGACACGCCAAGGGAGGGATTAGCTGTGTGCAAGCTGGTTTTAAGCCCAGCAGGAACTGGCGGCTGGCAGATTAGCCATCTGCTTCTCATGTAAAGCCATGGAGCATGTGCCTGCTCACATGCAGGGGCTGGGGCAGAGCGGGCACGTGTAAGCCCCACACGTGGAGGCAGGGGAGGCTGCGCCCCTGGGGTATTAGAGAAGACAGAGGGGATGCAACTTGGATGACAAGCTCCACCAGCATCTACTGCACCAAGCTTTGGTGCTGAGGACTCCTGGCCAGTGTGAGAGAAAAGAAACAAGCTTGATCCCTGCTGGCCATGAGTCTGGGGAGGGATCTGGGTTTAGGCGGACAGTGGAATGGGCCAGTTTAGGTTAAACATTGTCATCCATTTACAGAAGACTCCAGGTCTACGTTACCCCCGGGTGCATGCTCCGAGGTGATGTCCAGGTTCCCTACGCTCTCTGTAAATGGTCCAAGGCAGTTCAGAGCCATGGAGGCCTCCAGCCCCCACGACCATGGCCCATGAGGAGAATAGATGAATCTAACCCTCCCTCCTTCATATGGGGTGAAGTTGCAGTGGAGAGTCAGTGCTGAAACAAACAACTACCTCTTCAGCAGACACTGCCCTTAGCATTTTAGGGGAAGGACTACTATGATAGCCCTGTCTGATGGCCTCCATCTCTCAGGGATGTGGCCGTCTCCTCTCCCTTCTGCCCTAAAAGGGTAGGGTAAGGCAAGGCTTGTAAAGAGATAAAACTTCAAAACCATGGCATGCAGTGGGTAGTCAATGAGTGCCCACAACCACCTCACCTGTGATGGCAGAATAGGTGGAGACTCTGCTAAGAGGCTGCCTCGAGGTGGGGCCTAGGGCTGTTCTTCTGGGAGACTTCTCCAGGTCAGGCAGTGGATGGTGGGGTTGGGGCATGCCAGGCTGGCAAGGAGCATGAGCCAAAGAAAGGCAACATCTACCTCAGACTAGGGTCACAGATTAATCCCTCCAAAACCTCCTTCCTTGCCCTGGGAGCTAGAGCTATTGATTTAAGGAGCTGAGAAGCCAGACCCAAAAACTCCACCTCTCCCTCTGCTCCATCCTGAAGCTAATCCCATCATCCACTGCCCTTCAAATCACCAGCCACCAAGGCCATGCTCCTGAGCCAGGGGGCAAGTGGAGGTAGCTTTACTGTTACAGTGAACGAGTGTCCCCAGAAGCCCCATTAGCAAGAGCAGTGCCAGGTAGAGGATACCAAGGGAAAGCAACTGTCAGCTGAATCAATGGGGGGAGAAGGGGAAGGTAGGGGGGAGACATTAGGAGGGATATCAAATGAAGTCAAGACATGAAGTTAGGAGCAGCCTTTTCTTCCCATGGAGACTCTTCTTTATCACCCCCCCCCCCC